TTTTTATTTAATTTTATTATTATCTTTACTACTACTACAATAACCATTATTATCAATTATTATTATTATCATCATTATTATTATTGTTATTATCATTATTATCTTTACTTTTATTATTATCGTCATCATTATTATCATTATTATCGTTATTATTATGATGATGATGATTATCAACATTACTATCATCCTCTTTATTATTAGTATAATAATCATTCTTATCAGCAATATCATCATTACCATTATCATTATTATTAGCATTCTCATTAATATCATCATCATCATCGTTATTATCATTACTATTATTATTATAATTATCGTTATTATCATGATTATTGTTATCATTAATTATTATCATCATCATTATTGTATTATTTTCATCATTGTTGTTGTTTTCATGATTTTTTTGGTGTTCTCATTATCATTGCTATAATTATTATTACTCTTATTATTATCATCGTTATTTTATTATCATTACTATTGTTGTTGTTGTTATCATTATCATGATCAATATTGTTATTATATCAATATTACTATTATCATTATTCTTTATTGTTGTGTTGTCATTACAGTTATTAACGGTATTATCATTATTATTGCTATCATAATTATTACTATTACTATTATTATTACATTATAATTATAATTATTATTATCATTTTTGTTATTATTATCATCAATATTATAATTATCTATATTATCATTACCATTGCTTTTGATATCATTCTCAGTTTTCTTATTATTGTCATTATCATTCTTCTTAATATTACTCTTACTATCTGTATCATTGTTAATACGCTTACTATTATCACCCCATCTTCGGTACCATCATCTTTATCAAAAATGACGTTATCATTGTCCCCATTATGTATCAGAATGATCATTGTCGTCATTATTGACACTGTTAATATCAACATTGTTTCTATTGCTTGCATGTTTTTGTAGTGCCGTATTCGTAATATAAAGTAGAGTAATAACTTTCAGTATCCTTACCATCGTTATCACATGATCTCACAATCATATGCCGGTTTACAAATAAAATTGAATTAGCGACGTGTGAAAACGTAAGAAAGCTAATCTCTGATAATAAATTCGGGAAAAAATAGGCTATTATCTGGAACAGTTGCTAAAGCCCGCCAGAGGAATACTGGTTATTTAGAGGCGACATAAATATCAGCTATCTATGCCTGTGCGTATGCATCATGGGGTGCATATAAGCATGATTTGTGTAAGCCATTAACGCCTGCAAACCCCCAAGCTTAATGAAGCTCCATGTGCCTTCCATATGGGCTCCACGTTGGTTCCAAAGCCAGCATCCCTAGTGGGATAAGGAAATAATTATGGCTGGCTTTATCTGACCTGGTAGATCGCACATAGTCTCCGTTTCGGCGACCTCACGGTGAATTCGACGCAGCATAGCACTGCCCTAGTTCACCGTATCATGCGCTCATTTACTTGTGTTGTGCTCTTTCAAAAGTCAAGTCGTACCAATCTATCACTGCTAGCCACTAGCCCAACGTAAGAGGCCTCAATAGCCTTTTACAGTCTGGTGATAGAAGTGTTTTTTGCACCTTTTCGGCTCGCAATATGAACAAACACATCTCTGACCTTTTCAACGAGACACATACCATCATGTTATGTGGGTACACGTTATGGGCCCCTTCATTTTTTCCCTCCCTTCTTCTCCTATGTGTTAAGTCATATAAATTATATGTAGTCACTTTAATGTTGGCTTTGCTGGGAAAAAGGGTTAAGTGGGGAAACTTTTACTGTGAGAACACGGTATTGCTAACAAACACCAAATATCGTTATTCATTTCTCTCATTTTTCGAGATTTATATTGTTTCAACTCCAACGAATTCAGTGCGTTCGTCATTTTCTCTCAAACAGTTTGTCTCCAGGAAACCAAGGACACGGAAGGTGATACTCTCAAATTTCATTCTGGTGACTGGACACGGGAAGTGCCAACTTATGTCAAAAGTTCAATGCCCTCTGAACTAACAGAGACGCTGTGCGGAACGGCATAGAAAGTGTTTGTGTGAAGCTTCATTTACAACAAGGTGAAAAGTATATTGTCAACTTATACATCTCTGGGAGATGCTTTGATTTCAGATACTTACCCGATTGCTTGTACTCTGATTCTGCTTTGATAGTGGGTGACTTGAATGTTAGAAACCCGCAATTTGAAGAAATGGGCAATATCAATGATAACGGTAACAGGTTTTACCAGTTTTTAAAGAATAGGCCCGATGCATGCTTGCAAGGTGGTAAAGAGGTAACGTACATCAAGGGAGGATGACTTAATTACGCCTGTCTGATTGGCAGACAGGTGATTCAAGGAGAATGTGAGATGGAAAGTGAACTACTCAGTGATCATTTCGAGTTGTATGTTAAGTTAGCTAGAGGAAAAAAAGTTGTTTCAGAGAAATGGATTTCACTAAATGTAAACGGCAGAGAATAGTTTGTTTTTAACATCATCATGGCTTGGCTTCGCGAACGAAGATCATGAAAGGGGCTGTCCACGTCGACTGCAGGCGCGCTGGTGGCTGACAAGACCGATGCGGGACAGGCATGTCCGGCCGCAGCGACTGCAGTCAAAAGTCTGGTCTGGTACAGCTGCTGAGGCTTCCCTGTCCTTCCTCGTCCGGCGTTTCTCCTTCAGGTTAGACCTGTGGGAGTCCTCGAAGGAGGCGACGGCCTGGTGAACGGTGTGGCACCAGGCCTGGCGGTCAGCAGCGAGTGTCGACCACTGTCGGTGGTCAATTTGGCAAGCACCGAGGGATTTCTTGAGGGAGTCTTTGTAGCGTTTCTTCGGTGCACCTCTGTCACGGTGGCCTGTGGAGAGTTCGCCGTACAGGGCTATCTTGGGCAGGCGATGTTCCTCCATTCTAGAAACGTGCCCTGCCCAACAAAGCTGCGACTTCAGCAGCATAGCCTCAATGCTGGAGATCTCTGCCTGTTCGAAAACTTCAACGTTGGTGACGTAGTCACTCCAATGGATGTTGAGGATGGTGCAGAGACAGCGCTGGTGGAAGCACTCTAGGAGTCGTAGGTGGTGACGATATGTTACCCATGACTCGGAGCCGTACAGCAGGGTGTTGACGCTGATCTTCGTACCCTTTGTTAGTTGTCTGTTGTTCCATACTCTCTTGTAGAGTCTGCCGAAAGCGAAAGTTCACCTACCTGGTACACCCCAGGTAGGTGAACTGGTGAACTGCTTTCAGCTCAGTTTCGCCAATAGTGATGTGAGGAGGGCGGTACTCTTCCCGGGGTGCAGGCTGGTGGAGGACCTCTGTCTTCTTCAAACTGACCTCAAGTCCGAAGAGCTGCACAGCCGCTGCAAAGCAAGATGTTAGGCGCTGCAAGGCTCTTTCGGTGTGGGCAACAAGGGCAGCATCTTCAGCGAAGAGGAGGTCAGCTGCTCAAGTGTCTTTGTGTGGGCGTGCAGTCTCCTGAGGTTGAACAGACTGCCGTCAAGGCGATAGCGGATGTACACAGCTTCGTCATCTTCAAGGTCTTCAGTGGCCTGCTTGAGCATCATGCTGAAGAAGATGCTGAACAGAGTAGGTGCCAGGACACAACCCTGTTTCACGCCATTGACGATGGGGAAGGGCTCTGAGAGGTCGCTGTTCAACCTGACTTGGCCGCGTTGATCATCGTGCAGTTGGATGACCATGCTGAGGAACTTTTGGGGGCAGCCAAGGCGTTCCATGATCAGCCATAGCCCCTTCCTGCTCACAGTGTCAAACGCTTTCGTCAGGTCCACAAACGTCATGTACAGCCCTTTGTTTTGCTTCCGGCATTTCTCTTGGAGCTGCCTCAGGACGAACATCATGTCTGTGGTGCCCCTGTTAGTCCTGAATCCACATTGGGTTTCTGGGAAGTGGTCTTCAGCGATGGTGGGTACCAATCTGTTCAGAAGCACTCGGGCGAGGATTTTTCCCACGATAGAGAGCAGTGTTATCCCTCGGTAGTTGGAGCAGTCCGACTTTTCTCCTTTGTTCTTGTACAAAGTGATGATGACTGCATCACGGAGGTCTCTTGGAAGCTTGCTCTGCTCCCAACAACAGACAAGGAGTTCGTGGAGCTTGTTGTATAGTGTTGGTCCCCCATCTTTCCAGATCTCTGGTGGTATCCTATCAACTCCTGCTGCCTTGCCACTCTTCAGCTGTTCTATGGCTTTTGAAACTTCTTCCATAGATGGTAGTTCATCCAGTTCCACTATGACTGGTTTCTGAGGAATGTGGAGAACAAAGCTGGGTTTCCTCTGCAAGGTTAGTCCACCACTTGTTCTGGATCTCTCGAAGCTTGCGCTGGAGGTTGCTGCAAATGAGACGAAAGGCAGCTTTCTTCATAGGACATGATGGCTGAGCCAGGTGACTGAAGCTTCTTGAGATCGGACTTTTTAGTGGGGGGCCCTCCCTTCCTTGGTTTGGGTGTGAAGTGCATCCTGAGTTGGCAACGCACTAGTCGATGGTCCGTGCGACATTCTGCACTGGGCATCACTCTGGTGTGAAGGACATCCTTGAGGTCTTTTTGGCGCACTAGGATGTAATCTATGAGGTGCCAATGTTTGGACCAAGGATGCATCCAGGTTGTTTTTAATCGGTCCTTTTGCTGGAAGATGGTGTTGGTGATGACCAGTGGTTGCTCAGTGCAAAGCTCCAACAGCAAGCGCCCATTGTCATTGCAGTTTCCAACGCCGTGTCTGCCAAGAACTCCTTTCCAGGCATCTACATCTTAACCCACTCTGGCGTTGAAATCACCAAGGATTATTACCTTGTCATCTGCAGGGATGCTTTGGAGATGGCCTTGGAGCTCTTTTTCTGCAGGTTCAGCTTGGAGAGTCGGGGCGTGCACACTGAAGAGCGTGGCATACTGTTCGTTCTTTAGAGGGAGGTGCATGGACATATGCGGTCGGAGTGACCGGTTGGCAGGTTTTCCAGCTTGGAGGCGATGGAGGTCCTGATCATGAAGCTAACGCCAGAGAGGCGCCTTTCTGTTGCAGGTTTCCATAACCAGAAGAGGGTGTAACCAGCGCCATGCTCCTGGAGGCTGCCTACACCTGGGAATCGGACCTCGCTAAGGGCAGCAATGTCGACATCCAACCTGGACAGTTCGTGTGCTATCAGAGCAGAGCGACGTTCTGGTCGGTTGCTGTCAACTGCGTCGAGCATGGTCCTGACATTCCAACAGGCCATTTTCAGTGCTTTTGCACCCTTGGAGGTGGGTGCGTACCTTCCTTGCTTTGGTGTTGTTCGACCGCTTGAGAAGATGCCCGTTGGCCGCGGCATGCCAACTGGGGGGTGTGAGACGAGCTTTTTCTAGGCCACCTTTTCTAGGCCCCTCTCCATGTGGAGCAAGCAGTGCTGTCCCTGAAGAGGGCTGCTTGGTCGTTCAGGGTGTTGCCGGGTGATGCTGTCGTCTCAGGTCAACATCAGACGACCAATATCCTGAACTGCCTGCATGCAGGATTGGAACTGCGGCTTCCAGTGACATCTTTCACCTGCCGTTTTCGCCCCTTTCCCATCGCTGCAGGTCTTGGAATAGTTGTTGGTATCGCGGACGTGGACATGTCCTTCGAGCCTGCACAATGGAGTTTTTAGGTGGAGTGCAGTGTGCGCAGTACTGGCCCCACCCTTTACACCTGTGGTTCATCTGCCATAGCCTAGCAAGCTGGGACGGTGACAGTGAGGTCCTCGGGTCGTTAGTTTTTACATCAGACTGTCCTTGTCCTAGCCTCTGGCTCAAAAGCCTTCCTCGGAGGCACGGGGGCTATTACCCGGCAGGGGCGCGGCTGCTGAAGGTCGGGACATGGCCATGGACCCAGGGTCAATGCATGTCGAGACTGTCCAGCATTCCTCAGCACTTCAGGGGTTTTCTGTCAGACTTGTCCTTGTCTTAGGTGGACTGCCTTCCCCGGCTGTCGAGCTCCATCTGCCCGCATGCGGCAGGTAGCACAGGGTTACATGGTACCTGTGGCAGGTGGAAACCTGACCTGACCTGTTGTTTTTAACATAGAGAGCTGGTATAAACACTTTGCACCCGTATGTTCAAAGGGGATTTGTTAAGTGCGATAGAAAGATAACTATCCACAACACTCAAGACACACAGAAAGGAAAAGCGTCATGGGGCAAGGAGAAACAGGCACTGCAGTGATAACACACAGAATAGACACACATACAGGGAGAGGGTAAAAAAAATGACAAACAGGAAGAGGATAAACATGTAGTCCTTGATATATCAAAGATGTGTGGAGAAAAACAGAAAAAAATCAGAGATAAATACTCTCAAGAATATGCACAAAATATCGAGGAATGTAAAGCCTTAATGAATATGGTATTATGTAAATAAGGTGAGGGGTTAAATAAATAACCTCATCGACTACCCCAACCCAGAGGAGGAGGCAAACAAACACATTGAGAAATGGGTGAAGGCTTCTCTGGTTCCACTACCACAAAGCACTCTATTAGATCTATTCACCATGAGCTATTTGGAAGGTAGATTGCCGAAGGCCTGGAAAAAAGTCGCCACAATAATAACTATTCCGAAATAATCAGGAAGATACAGACCTGCATATCTGACATCCTGTTTATGTAAAATGATGAAACGAATAATGTACTTTAATAGAAACGAACTATCTTGTAATCTGTACGATTTTATGAATGGAAAAGGAACATTTGCCTGCATGATTCAGTGTTTATCAAATGATGCAGAGAAGTGTAGAATTTCTGTTGACTTACAACGAGCCTTTGATAAAAATACAGGTAATGGAGAAGTGATTGGTGACTATTTGTCTGAGAGAAGAACGTAAGGATGTTTATCAGCTGAGAGAAACCTTGAGCTGGGTACTCCACAGTGAGGTGTTTTAAGCCCAATACTATTTAATGTACTAGTGAACAGAATAGCCTCAGACAGATGTCTTCAGGGTGTCCAGCCAATTATTTATACAGATGACATATTGATATAAGTGACTGAACAGTGTCCTCAACAGATGGTGCTGAATAACTTTAGTAGACTTACACAAACATTTGGACTGATAATCAATCATGAAAAAACATAGATTCAGAGCAAACAAAGGGGTAATGTGATAATTGAGTTAAATGGCAAACAGGTGGAGAAGGTATTTACATAAATATCTGGGTATGTACATTGGCTTTACTTCCTCAAGTAAAGATGCAGAGGTGAATATATTGACCCAGTGTAAGGCGCAGTTACAGCTGCTCAGAGCAATTGCTTGTCGCAGAATAGGAGCTGGCGTCCCTTACTGAGACTAGTCTGTATTAGTGCAATAAGAGCTCTGGTGGACTATGCAGCACCAGCACTTTCCAAAGTCCATCAAGGGAGACTCCATACAGAATGAAACTATGCGAATAGTCCTCAGGTGTCAAAAAGGAATACCAGAATAGATATAATGAGAGCTGAGACAGGATTGCAAAGCATTGTACAGAGAGTGAGCGAGATTAACGCAGTCGCGGCCATTGGGTTAATGAGAGAGGTCAGTGGAGAGAAATTAGTGAGATATATGGCCAGCGGTTTTAACAACATAAGATCATTTTATAGGCAAGGCAAGCGAGGATATATGAAGGAACATAAACATAGCATTTATTATTATGGATTGAAGGATTATTGTCACTCTCATAAGACATCTCCTGAAATGCCACTATGGGAGGATCATGATATTAATAGAGGTAGATCCTCTCTTTATGAATAAATCCATGTATGAGCCAGATCAACTTAAAGCAATATACGGTCATCAAATAAATAGTCTAATACGACTTGATATTGCTCATGTTCACTGTGATGGGTCAGTATGTCTTGAGCAGGTTTCTACTAAGTTGAGGATGACCGTTGCATGTTATGCATGATTCTTCTGAGACACTGACATCTCACTCAACAAACTGTTAACCTTTTCTCCAGGATTATAATTATACTGCATGCATATTATATATTTATATATTATGCATGCCGTATGTGATTATGTGAGCCCAGGAGAGGACTTATCAAGATGAGGGTGGAAAACTATCGTGTTATATCACTTAACTGATATGTAAACCATTTACTCCGAATGCTTGTATTTTGGTTTTTTAAGTATTGTATATATATTCTAATATGCTGATATTCCCAAGTTTGTATAAGAAATGTGAGCCCACACAGGGACTTATTAAGATTGGGATGAGAAAAACCCAAGTTCTACATCCTTTAGAGATGTAAGCTTTTGTTTCAATAAACAATAGTCTTTCTCTTTGTAAAATAAACACGCTATCTCGCCCTTTCGTGCATGATCTGGTTCAACAACTAGACATCAGTTGAACCGACAATATCCGACACGACACCGAAGGAGGAACCCTGCACATACGGTCGCCTTAGGATGCTGTTGGAAGAAGTCACCGGAAGATCGCCATAGGCCTGCGGACTCGGAGTTCGTCAGTGCTTCTTTACCCTCCTGAAGAACGGGATAAAATATGTCACACTAAGAAAGCAGTCTCTAGTTAATAAAGTGGTTAAGGTCCAATGGTCTCAATTATAGTTACCAAACTTTAGCTTTAATAATACGAACAACCTCAAAACAAAGTACATTTCCAAGCCTCAAATTTTACCTCATAAAAACCGTTTGTAGTAAAATGACTCATCCTTATATATAACTTTGCACGTTTTCTTCCTTTAAAGGATGTGTCATTAGCCTATGCTGTCTGAGGGCATGCGGGAAGATTCAACTGGCCATGAAGATTCAGATGTCTCTTATTTTCACGACGAGCCTCGTCGTCTGCCTTGTAGCCTTGCCAGGACACATCATCACAAACTACTGGACGATCATTTGTTGGCTAAGAAACGATGGGGCCGTATTAGCTTTTGTGATATTCTACTCTATATCGGTCAACATTGTGCGAAATTACTATATGCTGCTCGCGATCTACAGGTAACGACAATATGCATAATATTCTCATTTTGATATACTTATGATGAAAGTCAGATCTCTTCCATTGCTGTGTCACAGTCAAGGGACATGTGTTTATAGTATTAAATATAATACATCTAAGCTTGTCAACAGGTTCTTGGCTGTGTGTTTTCCCATCCGGTATAAGCAGTTCTCCCGATGGACGGTAGTTACAGGAGCCGTCGTTTCCGTCACTGTAATCGTAGTGCTTTCGTGGTTAATTTTGTTCATAATACAGGTAATCAAATAACCATCATACTTATGATTATCGTTACTATTACTTTTGTCTAGAGATATAAAGCACTGGATTCCATAGAGCAACTGGTCTAGCTGTTCTACTTACTTTATCAAACACGGCAATTCTTATTAGGCATTATAGATACGACACTTCTGGCAATTACAAATTATGCTATATTCAGGACTACTCCAGCATAGACCTGAACAACCCTAGCAGCTACTACATGGGCCGAATTCTGTATTGTTTGCTTCTCGTGATGCCGTTTACTGCAACAGTGATAGCTTACTTTGCTATGGTTTTGTTTGTGAGTAAATATGCATTGTAACTTTGAATAACTGATGTAAAACAACAGATGTCTGACAAGCTATTGAAAAGAATAAACATTTTCTTTCAGAAAGTATTATTCTCTGATTTCCTCGTTATAACTGGACTTAATGTATTTCTTCGAACAGATGCTCCACAAGAAGTTCTTTATGACACAGCCACAAGGAGTTCGCAGGCCGGACCAAATCGCTAAGTCAGTAAGCATCCTTATCCTGACAAACCTGCTCTTGGACGTCCCTCATCTCACTGTGCATCTCACGTACACTAGTTCAAAGGACGTTTCCTTCATCGTAGTCCACATGATCTACCGACTTCGCTTTGTTTTCGACCCTTTTCTCTTCGTGTGGCTCAACATGCGTTACCGCCAGAGGGTGCTT